CCCCCTGCAGCCTATTTTCTGCTTTTATCACCATTTTTTCAGTACTAAGAAAACTGGCCTTTTTATATCTCAAACTTTCTGCCTCTCTTCCTTTTCTTCCTACCTATCCTACCTGCCTGCTGTTGCCTGCCTGCCTGACTGCCTGCCGTTTTCACAATTTTCAATTACCTTCAACTTTTACTTTTGCCTTTTTATTAAAAAGCGAACCCTCACACGCACTCATATCTACACTCACTCACTCACACGAATGCATTTCAATCACGCGACATTTTAACTGCTCCATTCAGTCGTTCAGCTGTCAACTTTTTTTTGCGTTCAGTTTGTTCAGCAGCCGTAAATGAACAAACTGCACACTGGCTGGAGACACTGCCAAACACTGCTCTGACATTGAAAAACACGGCCCCACACATTGTGTGTTCAATGTGTCTGTGTGTGTGACGCACGCATTTTTATTGCTGTCTCTATTTGATTCTTTGTAGTTCTCGTTTTAGATCGCAGCGCTTTTTTTTCCAGGAAGATTAGGAAGCTTGCTTGCATGCACATCACAGCACACGCACACACACACACACACACACACCTTAACATGCAAACTTTTACCATGAAAAAATGTGTGTGTGTGTTTTGTCTGTGTGTTTCAATCAACACACGGTAGCAAAAAAGTTTTGAGCTACTTTTTAAGCTTTATACTTTGCTTTTAACTGTTTTTTTATCTACCTTAGTTTGCTAGTTTTTTGCCGCCGCTGTTGTTGTCTCTGCTAAACTGTACATCTGTTTTACTCCTTTTTAAATGTTAAGCATATGTGTGTGTGTGTGTGTGTGTTTACGCCAAAAAACTTGGGCTTTGTTTGAAAAAAATACTCGCTCAACTTCGTTTTGCAAACTTTCTCTTTTTCTTTCCAAAAAAAAAATTAAACTTTAAAATATAAACTGCACACTCCAAACATTCCCCTTAAACAAAACCTTAACCAAACCGGGTCCTATTACCTGGTTGGGAAAGAAGCAGATGGCGAAGATGACCACCAGGCCGAGGACGATCTTGCTGATCTTCTTGCGATTGCGCAGCAGCTTGTGCTGCGACTCATTGGTGCCCACCGGATTTTCCGTGGTGCGAATCAGACTGCGCGCCATCAGCGTGTAGAAGACGCTGATCACTACCAGCGGAATGACGTAGTAGGCGAGAAACTTGGTGAGCACCATCACCTTGGAGTACCAGGGGCCGAGGTGCTCCGGAAAGGGATAGCACACCTTCACCTTGTGGCCGGGCTCCACCTGAAACTCCAGCATGTAGGAGTTGTAGGCGCCGGGGGCCGCTAGGAGGATGCTCAGCAGCCAGATGAAGGTGTTGGCCTGCGTCAGGGTGTTCCGCCCCTTGTGGGAGAGGTAGCGAATCGGGTGGTGGGTGGCGGTGTACCGCTGGACGCTGAGGGTGGTCAGCGTGAAGACGGTGACGCCGATCGACAGGTCGCGGGCGAACTCGCTGATCTTGCACACCAGCAGGCCGTAAGGCCACGACTCGAAGGTGTAGATGGTGCTGACGAAGGGGACGCTGATGAAGATGAGGGCGAGGTCGCCGGCGGCCAGCGAGAGGATGTACACGTTGGCGACGGTGCGCATCGACTTGTGCTGGTAGAAGATGTAGATGACGGTGCCGTTGCCGATGGTGCCCAGCACGAAGATCAGCAGGAAGATGAGAGGGACGATGTACGTCTCCGGACGGGCCTCGTAGGGGACGTAGCCGCCACTGCCGCCGCCGCCGCCGCTGGAGTTGAAGTTGGAGTTTGTGCCGTTTCCGGTGCCGAAGGTACCCGAGCCACCGGAAGTGGTGGTGGTGGTGGTCGACAGTGGTGTGTCGTTCAGCATGTTCAGCGTGTGGCCGCTGGCTGTGGAGGCGGCCGCGGCCGCGGCCACATTTGCCGCCAGCACCTGACTGACGATGGTCGGCTCGGAGGTGAGCAGCGAGGAGGTGAGGTTGCTCAGCAGGCGGCTGCTCAGGCGGATGTAGCTGCTACTTCCGCCACCTCCCTCGCCGCTGTCACTGTGATAGCTGCTGCTGCTGCTGTCGTACTGGTCGTACTGGTCCATTTTGGGGAGGTGAGGTTTTTTTGTTGGTTGGTTGTTTGTTCAGAGGGTAAAAAAAGGTAAATCAAAAGGTGATCAGGTGTGTCACAGGTGGTGGTGGTGGTGATGGTGGTGGTGGTGGTGGTGGTGGTGCCAGTTTCAGTTTGTTTTCAAAGTCTCAAAGTTAGCTGCGTCAGTTGAACAGAAAAAGTTGTTGTTGTTTTTGTGCCAAGGTTCTGCAGAGGGTTAAAGAACAAAGTAAAGAAATTAGCAAAAAATGATTTAGTTTTTGTTAATTTGTGTTTTTTGAATTGTTTTTTAATTCAACAATTCTCTACGCTAGTAACTAGAAAAGATTAGGCGGCAAGTAAAGAAACGTTGCATTATTGGTAAATTAATTTTTTTCCTGTTTGACGTACAGTTTGTTTGGCGCTGTTTGTTTTTAACGCAACATTTTTGTACTTGAAAAAGGTTGCGTGTGTGTGTGTGTGCAGTTTTTAGCAAATTAAGTTGATTAAATGCACTAAAAGAGCACACACAGTAAGTGTATGATTGCTTAACACTTTGACCTTTTGCTTTTTAAAACCGTCTTTTTTGTTAAATACAATAAACTTAATTAAAAAATAGTTTTACTATAATTATAATTTTTACGCAAAAACTTAAACGTAATTGCAAATTATTTATCATCATCAAAAATTTGTTTTTGCACTGTTTTCACTTTTTGATTAATTTGTTAACTGTTTTTGTAGCAAACCGCTTTTTTATTACTAATAAAAATCGAGCACAAAAAACAAATCTATTTTAAGTGTAACAAAGAGAGTTTTAATTTAACACAACAGCAACAACAGAAACAGCAGCAGAACAAGTAACTAATAATAATTAAATTTTTTGAGAATGCACATGCACTTGCACCTTTTTCCTTTGTTAAATTTTAACAACTTTCCAACTGCTTTTTCCACCAAGTATGTTTCCAGCTTCTGTCTGGTAGTGTGTTTTTTTATTTTGCTCAAATGCATTCATTCTATTGTAGTATTGTGCAGTGTCGTTGTGTGTGTGCTTTCTTTAGTGTGTGTGTGCCTGTGCTTGCACTTAATGTCCCTCTTCCCAGATTTGACTCAATTTACCCTTTTCTTATTTCTTTTTACCCTATTTTTTGTCTCTCTCCTTTTCCTGTTTTTCCTTTTTCTCATTCTTTTTTTTCAGTTGCCCGTTCAGTAGTTCCAAATCCTGTCACATGTCGGCCGCTTAATTGTTGACTGTAGCACAGAAGTAGTAAGCTCACCAGCACTTCACCGGCGGCCTCCCCAAAGGTGGACATTACGTTTCTTCTTCTAAGCAAAAAATAAATAGCAAAAACATCTCTGAAAGCACATCCAGCCACCACTCATAATCATTTAGCATTTCCCCCTCCCCCTCCCCTCTCAGATATTCCCAAATGTCACGTTCACAATGATTTTTCCTGCTTTCTTTCCTTCCTTCCTCCTCCGGTGTGACCACTCTCGTACAGTGGTCGTTGGCCGACACTTGACGTACGATTTCCCGCGGCCGTTTACGCGGCCAGTCTATGACAGGTTTTACTTGCCTGCGTTAGTGTGTGAGTGTGTGTGTGTGCTTAAGGATGCCCCGTCCAGAACAAAAGGAGGATGCAAAGCCTGATTTGATCAAGATGAAATGCAGACGACCGGAACACACCCTGGCGCCCACTAGAATGCAGGCACGTGAATCAGCAGTCAAATAATTCGGATTCAATAATAGGAGGCCCTTTCAAGAGGAGGAAGAGGAGGAGGGAGTCAATGAATGGATGAATGAATGTGTGAAGGCATGCCGGGGGAACAATGCCGCAGCACAGCACAGCACAGCATCAACATCAGCATCAACATCAGATCTCACAAAGCCGGAAAACTAGACAAAACAAAAAAAGGGACACAAAAGTGGCACTGGCTAGTGAGCAAACAGTAGTAGTAATAGCAGTTGCATTAAAGTGATACACTTCAATTTAGCCGGCCAATGACATTCACACACACACACTTACGCCATTTACGTCACACTCTATTTTCTATTCAGCTTTTTGACAATAATTACATTTTTTGCTCTTGTTGCTGGCAGTGTGTTTTGTGGTTTTGAGGTTCTGAGGCAACACATCACATTTTGTCTTGTTTTGATTGTCCTTTCTGCTGTGAAGCATTCCATTCTCTGTTCACTGCCGTCAGCAGTGGTGGTGGTGGTGGTGGTTAACTTTTCTTCATGTTTTTTCCCTTATGGGAAACTGTGTACAAGTTTGCCTGTGTAATCTGTGCGTTATATTTAGAACAAAAGAGAGTAGTAATAATTCGGAGAACAATTAATGATTTAAAATAAAACGATTTTTTCTGCCTTTGAGAGTTGATCAAATTTATAATGAGCAAGAGTTGTGCTTTTTTGGTTGTAAAATCAACCAGTGACGCAGAAAATGCTGCAATGTTTCGCTGTGTCTGTGCAGTTATAAAGTTGTGCAGTGAAGGTGCCATTGGCACATACTTTAGTGCTTAAAATCTGCCATTTTTTAAATTTGGTTACAGCGATATATTCTAACAGGAGAATATGTTCTGGCAAAAAAACGCTGGTTCAAAAAGTTATTAATGGAAATTTGACCCTCAAAACGAAGCAAAAAGGCAATTGTGTCTAATCAAATTGCGACAATTCAATTGTATTTCCGTTGCCAAGTTGTCTAGGGAGATTCAATTTGCAGCAGGCTTTTTAGACTCCAGCAATTTGTGAATAGCTATTTGAGTGTGTGTCGCTGATGCTTGACAACGATTATTAAGTTATTAAGTTTAAAAATTGATACTTTTTTGCTAAAGTAATTAAGGAGAAATTTGTCTAGTAACCTTTAAAAATGCTTAAGCAAAAATAGACAAAAAATTGTCGTTTTGAACTTAAAACAAACTTCTTTTTTAAATAAAATTGTTCAGTGCAACAAACAGAAAAAATGTAAGGAAATCCCTTTGTCAGAGCTTTTGCAATTATCATTTTTGCCCTCTAGCAAAAAGGCATCACCATCACATTGCACAAAATGCACTTAACCCTTCTAGAGTAGCTTACAAGTGCAAATATGTTTTTAACCTATCAAGAAAAGTCTACAGTTGTAGATATAAAAGCAACAATAATAATAAAAAAATTCACTCAATTCAGCTACATTTGTTGAAAGGGAAGAAGAAGAAGAAGAAGGAGAAGACACGGGAGAAAGTAAAAGGAAAAAGTGGTGAGACTATAAAAACAACAACAACAGCAACTGCACAAAAAGAAAAACAATTCCTCGCCTGGCGGTTTAATTGCCGTTGTACTATTGCTCTGTTCAGTCTACCACTCTTCTACAGTGCAGTGGTAATACCATTAATAACACCTAATTTAATTGATGCCTCTTACTTCTTCTCCTTCTTCTCCTTCTTCTTTTTTTTCGCACTTTTTCTCCTGTCGATTTACTACTTTGCCCATGGTTTGGTCTTCTCAGAACATACTCAACCAAGAACTCCCAAAAACACACACACACTTTGTCGCAGCAATCGGGACGAGCCAAAGCTGCTCGTCTATCGTCTGATCGTTTCGTTTTCTGCCAACTTTTTCTGCTGTCGCTGTTGCTGTTGCTGCTGCTACATCTGTGTCTACTTTTCCTATTCATTTGGCCTTTGTTTTCTTACTCACTTTCACTTTCACTTTCACTTTCACTTTCACTTTCACTTTCCCTGCCGCCTGAGCTCGATCGTTTGGATGAGACTACTACCAGCTACTAAGAGCAAGTCTAAGTAAATTCCACCTAATAACAGTAACGATTCCCTTGCTCCCTCATTCTTTCTCGCACTTTCTTCTTTCTCCTCCTTTTTTGTTGTTTCACACATTTCTACTCTCCACTTTTTTTCCACCTCTTCCCCGATTCTCGCTCTTCACACATTCTTGTTCACTTGTCGATTTTTCGTCGGCGTCGGCGTCGGCTAGTGTGTGTGTTCTTTAATTAAATTGCCCGTTTGTTTGGCTCTGTGTATCTGTGTGTGTTGCAACACATCAGCAGCAGCAGCAGCAGCAGTAGCAGCAGCAGCGGTAACATCGGCATAAGAACGTCTACCGACAAGAGGAGCAGCAAAGTTTTGCTGCTGCTGCTGCTGCTCTGGTACTTTTATCGCCGCTTATTGACACCGAAAATTGTTGAATTGAGCCAAACTCTTCTTTTTCTTCTTTTTCTTTTGCTCCGTTTGAAGAGCCTTCACGGAAAATTTGTTCTCCACTAAAAAGTGGCGCCAAAAATGGCAGGAAAAAATTCTTTCTTGTTGCTGCTTCTGCTTCTGCTGTAACTGTTTCCTGTCGCAGCAGCAATTATTGCAAAGGGAAGAGAGAATGAGAGAAAGAGCTCCTGGGTGAAAATGGTGGATAACTCTTGAAGAAAAGTTAAATACATACACACACACACACACACACACACACTACTTCAAATTACAGCAAACGGAAGGGCAGTGCTGGTGGTGGTGGTGGTGGTGGTGGTGATGACGATAATGAAGGTTTGTTCTTGTTGAGCAAGAGCAAAAGAAGAAAGGAAGCAAAAACTTGAGCAATTTGTACAGCACCGTTCCACTTTACACTGTGTCAGTAGAGTGTCCGTCCGGCCGTTTGTAGAACTTTTTCCGCCTCTGTCTTTAAGTGTCTGTCTTTGCACACACACCACTTGATTAAGTGTGTGCGAACAAAAGTGGTGCCCAAGAGGAAAGAGAGAGAGAGAGAGAGAGAGAGAGNGAGAGAGAGAGAGAGAGAGAGAGAGAGAGAGAGAGAGAGAGAGAGAGAGAGAAAGAGAAAGAGAAAGATAAGAGTTGGTCTAAATAAGACAGTCCAATTCAGTAATTTAGACTTTTCTCCTCGGTAGGGTGAAAGTGCCCTGTACGACTGCGACTGAGTCCAAGCAGACTGAGCAGCTGACAGGTGACATTTAGATAACAAAAAAGGGAGACGGACAATTAAATTGTTTTTGGGGGTAGTAATAAAAAAAATGTACAATCTTG